GAGATTTTTGGGTCGTGACACAAGCTTCTAGGAGATTATTCTCTATGTCTCTATACATGAGAGTCTAAAACAAATAAGGAAGACAATATAGTAAGATAGAAGGGGGTTCCGGAGTCTGCAGTCGCTGGCAGATATACCTCGAAGTTTTCTCGTACAACTAGTTTATTGATTCCTGGTCTAATAAGGTGTACCTGGATCTACACAAAAAGATGTGCAGAAGCGTAGTATGAGTACACCACAGCGGTACCCAGTAAGTACCAAGCCTAACCTCGGTAGAGTAGTGACGAGGTCAGGTTAGACCCTACTGAAAAATAATAATAAATGGCATGGTAAAATGTTTCACAATATAATAAAATGAAATGACAATGGAAATGAATCAAGTAGTAGGTCACCATTTAATTACACAAATAATGGCAAATAATACCTCGTGGGACAAAACAAAATTTCTTTTCAACTTTAAGAAAAATTACAACAAAATCAAAGGCAACTACAGCCATAAATCAACATCAACAAGGGCACTCTCGAGGTACCGCCTCGTAGTCCCAAATCATAAATAAATTCACAATATCTCATTTCCTTATCTCACGTGGGAGCCTTCACAATTTATTTTTAAAGAAAATATTTTTTTCGAAATAGCATCCCGCGTTTTAGCCCTTCTTATCATACCGCATGGCTTCTAGTAGTTCCCCCTACTAGCCACGCGTATCAAGCCATCCTTATCTCACCGCAAGTGTTTCAAATACCCAGACCTTATACCACCGCATGCGTATCAATATCACAATATATCACAATTTGCACCTCAAGTACTCAAATAATTTAACTTGCCAAAATAATTCAACAACAATATTTTTCCACAATAAAGAGCTCACGGCTCATGCCAAAATAAATCGTCAGTAATATTTTTCCACAATAAAGAGCTCACGGCTCCATCATAATGAGTACAAAAATCTTACAAAAATATTCAGGAATAAATAATTCAGCAAACTAATATTTCAAAGTCTTTATTACGTTGCTTCAATATCAAATTTATAAATATCAAATACTTTATATTAATAATATTTAATTTAAAGAAAATCAACTTAAATTAATGCACAGAATAAAAGAAACCAAGTTCCAACTAAACGGGTAAAATAATTAGCAGGAAAAAGGTCAAGCAAATTTAAAGTATATAAATCAAATCAATGATAGAGAATATAACAAGATTTAATAATTTAATTAATATGCAACCGTGATCTACACAATTTAAAAATATAATCCTTCATATTTAGCCCGTGTACACACTCGTCACCTCATGTACTCGACTTTCATCACATTACAATTAATACCAATCATAGGAAACATTTTCCCCACACAAGGTTAGACAAGTCACTTACCTCGACTTGCTCCAATTTAACCAAGTAGTATGCTTTTTCCTCAATTTTTTGACTCCGATCGACTCGTATCTAGTCATAATTAATTCGATACAGTCAAATAAAATTATAGGAATCAATTTCATAGGAAAATACTATATTTTTCAATAAAATCCGAAATTAGTTCAAAAATCGCCCGTGGGGCCCACGTCTCGGAATCCGGCGAAACTTATAAAATCCGATAATTCATTTAATTACGAGTCCAACCATATAAGTTTCACTCAAATCCGACTCTGAATCGACACAGAAATCTCAAAAATTCATTTTTACGAGATTTCTAAAATCTTCCCAAATTTCCATCTCAATACACTAATTAAATGGTGAAAACAATAATATATTCGTGTATATTGACCAAATCCGAGTTAGAATCACTTACCCAAATATTTTTCCTTGAAAATCTGTCAAATATTGCTTCTACTCATGTTCAAGTTTGTCAAAAATGGCAAATGTGACGAAATCCACAGTTTTATAAACTTACAGATCTGTCCAGGCTAGACCTCGATCATGGAACTTCGATCATGGGGTTCGATCATGGCCCTCAATCATTGCCCTTGATTAGGGGTGTTCATAAAAATCCGAAAAATCGAACCAAACCGACCAAAAACACCGATACTTTTTAGGTTTGGTTTAGTTTTGGTTTTGAATTTTAAAAACCGATCAAATTTGGTTTGGTTTTGGTTTTAATAAAAAAATAACCGAAGAAAACCGAACCAAACCGACTATAAAAGTAGGTATTTAAATTTATTATTACACCTATATATATGTATAGTTTTATATAAAGTTTCTAAAACTTTATGGTGCATATTAGTCGTTTATATTTTTAGTCTAGTTTTTTGCTATTATAATAATCTTATTCTTTGCCTCTCAAAGACTCAAAGGACGGTCTTCTCTCTCTCTCTCTACGCCTTCTGTCTCTCTTTCTCTCTCAAAACGATGATTGCCCCAAATTGTTTAGGGTTCAAGGCCAAAAGTATCGTTGATTTCACTGATAAATGTAAGGAGATCAGATTCCAAATTGTTTAGGGTTCAAGACCAAAAGTTTCGTTGATTTCACTGATAAATGTAAGGAGATCAGATTCCAAATTGTTTAGGGTTCAAGACCAAAAGTTTCGTTGATTTCACTGATAAATGTAAGGAGATCAGATTCCAAATTGTTTAGGGTTCAAGACCAAAAGTTTCGTTGATTTCACTGATAAATGTAAGGAGATCAGATTCCAAATTGTTTAGGGTTCAAGACCAAAAGTTTCGTTGATTTCACTGATAAATGTAAGGAGATCAGATTCCAAATTGTTTAGGGTTCAAGACCAAAAGTTTCGTTGATTTCACTGATAAATGTAAGGAGATCAGATTCCAACTCGTTTAAGGTAATGTGTTTGATTTAGCTTTCGATTTTGCTTATTTAGCCATTGAATTCATTGATTTTAGGCGTGCATGTGTGTGTATTGGATGAAGATCAGTTTAAATCACTGATTTAAGCTGTCGATTCACTGCTTAAGCCGTCAATTTCATCATTTGGCAGTCAATTTTATTGATTCGGCCGTCAATTTCACTGGTTTAACTGTCAATTTTTGCTAATGGTTTTATTTCTTGTTTCTAGTAGTTTTTAATCTGTATTTTTGTTATTTTCTGTTCGATTGGTTTGATATTAAGAGTGTAGTCAAATACATGCTCTTAATTTTGATATCCGTAGTCGTTGATATTTTAGCTACTGATCTAATGGTTTTAATTCTTTTTTCTTTTATTTTTGTGTCAACTTTTGTTACTTTTCTGTTCAATTAAGTTTGTGTTTGTTTAAATTTTGACATCGAGTTATTGATAATTTAGATAAACATGAAAAGTCAAAGATAATTTAGATATTGAAGTTATATATGCACCTTCATGAAAAGCCAGTATATGCTGCCTTTTGAACTAAGTCATGAATCATGACAGAGAAGTTAGTGAGAAAACTAGATCAATCTGATTTCTTAAAGTTGAACTTTAACTCATCAAACTTTATAGCACTTGGTGTTAATATATAAGGCATGCCTTGCACCTTTCTATCACAATGATCATTTCCAAATCAGAAAAAGCTACACTAATCTACATCCTTCCCAATATCACTCTTATCAAGTTACGAGCATTTTGACTATCTTGACTATTTCACTAGGTACTTGTCATCTTCCATTTTTCAAGAGTAGTTTTTCCTATTTCTTTTGCTTTAGTTTTCTTGTTATCCTGATGTTGTTAGTACTATTGTGATGTTATCTTATGTCTTCTTTTCTAGCCATGCCAATTGATAAATCTTGAATTAGCAAACCACGAAATACACTTGAATATGCGGATGGGCTTAGAAAATTTCTGAATTTTGCTTTTGATTATGGGTCTATTGATGGGCGTGTAATTAAGTGTCCGTTTTCGAAATGTGGTTTTAACAAGTGGAAAAGAAGAAATGTAGTTGAAGAACACCTGACTTGTAAGCCTTTTCCAAAAAATTAGTTATATAACTAATCCCGGAACTATAATTTTTTTTTATTCCTATAGGATCCCGGATAACTAATTCCGGATTAATAAACCATGGGAAAACTTATTTTCCAATAAAACGGTCCCTTAATTAATTAGTATATCAAAAAAGGGGGCCTAATTAATGATTCATATCTTTAAGTGTAAATAATCATCCTAAGATTTAAGTAATTTCTAAAAAGAGGCAATTGTCATTGTTTTGTGGATATAGACTAAAAAAGGTGTAATATATACTGTTGATTTTTATAAATTGTCGATAAACCACTATGTCAAAACCAATAAATTATCATGGCTTAATATATCTTGACTTGTGAGCATAAGAAAATAAGATAAGTAAAATATTTGATCGATTAGAAATTACTATTCTTGATAGGATTAAACACCTAAATATAACATCGAGAATCTTTAGAATAGCCTTGTCAAATGTTGTACCCGACATCCAAAAAAGAACTACGCGAAAACGTCCCTTTTCAGAAATATTTTATTCCATACCTATTCAATAAAAAATATTTACAAAATATCCAACATGGTATGTATTTTGTATATATTTGGGGTTTTACGATTCACATTTTGAAAATTATTATGGTATACAATACAAAAACTATTGTATATACAGTATACTAGAAAGATATACAAAATATGAATTGTATACCTGAAGGTATACAAAGTGCAAAACTGCTACACTATAACTTTTTAAGGGCAAAGTTTAAAAATGCTACGGCCAGAGGCGGAGCAAGCCTATTAGGTGCGAGTTTGGCCGAACTCAATCACTACTTTTGCTTAAATACTTTATATGTATTAGGAATTCATTAGATATGTATAAATATTTAATTGTGAACCTAGTGACTAAGACGAGTCATGATTTCATAGCAAATTCAAAACCCATAAACTTTAAACTTGGCTCCGCCTCTGACTACGGACTATATTAAGCTACCTGAGTAATCATTAAAAGACCCCGTTTTTCTTGACAACCCCCGCCTGAGTGGGTATATATTTGTGAATATTTGCTGTCAATTTACACGTAAGATGAAACAAATAATAAAGGGAACATATATAAATGCTAAGGGCGATGGAGGAGTGAAGAAAGCTTACCATTATAATTCCTTTGATGATTTCGTCGGTGTAGTATTCTGGTTGTGATTCTTGCAAAGAAAGCAAATGATCAATCATTGTATTTCGGTTCTCCGCGCAACGGTATTCATCAATAATTAAACTTTGCAAGAATTCATCCATTTTGCGGCCGAGCTGCTTGACGATATTCTTCTTAGTACGCTTATAAATCCAACAAAATGGTATAGGCAAAATATCATCTACATTTAATGCACCCCCATTGCTAAAGAACTCCCCTATTACTTAAGTAATGGTTTCCAGCTACCATTCTCATGGTGATGTTAAAGGATAATTCAGAAAATTTGGACTTAAGTTCAACAGACGTGGCACCAAAATCCTTGGAACTTAGAAACAACTTGTGCACAAGAAGCTTAACTTCATGTTGTCGAATGGATTGAGAGTTGTAGAGTCGGCTAGAGGAGAAGATTTCGAGTGTACAAATAAGGCGAAGGTTGCGCCAGTGATCGCCATAAGAGGAATCAATGATTGTAGTGCAGTTATATCCTCCAACCATTAAAGGAGGGCGGTTGGCAAGCACGATATCATTTTTAGTGAAGCATTCCTCCACCGCGGATGGAGATGACACCACCACAACGAGACGCTTGCCTAATTGTAGAGAGAAAATAGGACCGTATTTTTCAGAAAGATTTCCAAGAGTGCGATGCATATGTTGTTTCAAAATATAGAGATGTCCTATTATAGGAAGTTTAAGTCCTGGGGTTGGTGGGAGGTTATACTGTTGTCCTCTTGAGGACACAAGTTTGAAGACTAGAAAAAGTAGGGAAATAGACACCGATGCAAACAACCAAGCTGCTTCCATTCTTTCAAGGAACTTATCTCAAGTTAGGGTATGGTTTGCCGTCGAGAAAGACATGAAATCAAGTTATTCCACCCCAAGTGACAAGACAACCAATAATCAAGGGAATGACGGAAGCCAAATAATTATCACAATTTGCCAACTGGAATTGTGCTATTTGGATTAGCATGCTTTAAATACATATGTGTATATATAAAATTAAGAACCATGCCTCAAATTACAGATAATTGGAGACATGTATCGAACGTGGCCTTTTTACGTACATATACATACGATTGGGTCCCTATACAATAGTGATTGTGGTCATGCATGATGGCATGTGTGTTACTACAGATTAACTAAAGACAAAATGGATGTATTCAAGTGTTATAAGAAGATAAAATGAGGGGAAAATGTAGTCAAATTAATTGGTAATTAAATCCAACAAGGGTTACGTCTCGTAGAGGATTGAGCCAGGGGTGCAATTTATTTATTACTATTTTGTTCTTATCAGATCATCCAACGATCTGAAATGACCAAAGTGATTACAACTTTTACCATCTGTCAGCCCTAGCGTAGAGAGGCGCAATAATATCAATGGACCAAGCGGTTGTTCGTGATGCCATTTCAACTCTATAGAATGTTGCGACCAAACACACTCACGCAAGTATACATGATCGTTATGTAATAGAGTAATGAATAGAGTATCGTTCCCACGAAAATGTATGATTAACTTTTGATTGATTCAAATTCAATCAACTTATCGATTCAAGAGATTTCTCACAAAATGTGTAAGTGACTAATTTACTACTTAAAAAACTATCAAGCAATGAAATAACTAGAGATCAACCACAACACTTAAGCAATTTTGGATAACAATCAGTAGGAGAGGATATTCCAGGGTCACAGGCTAGCTAACAATCATGTTGCGTTCTTGACTTAAAATGACTAATTGATTTATCTAGATTGTTGATTGACAGGGTTGATATTACTCATAAGAATCTGTCGAGTTCTTATTCGCTTATTCAAGTTAACTTAATGCCTATATGTTTATGGAATTAAGATTAACAAAAATGCATTTACACTTCCTGTATTTCAACCAAGCAAGACAATTAGGTATATTTCTATTCTACTTGCGAATCTGTTCCCCGATGCCCGGATTCAAGAACCTGCTCTCTTTAATTCTATGTGCAATCTAGAATCCCCACTTTCGAGTTCAACTCTAGATTCGTAGATAGTATTTCACTGTTAGCTACTCAGCAAAATAATTAAAAACAGAATTAAATAAACAACCCAATATGATAAAATCAAACTCGTCAATTTAAACTTCAAACATCAACATTCATGTAGCACTCATGACCCCAGAGCAATAAGGTTCTTAGCCACTCATGTTCATATAATCATAAAAAATAATATTTTCAAACATAAAATCAATGAATACTTGAGGAAGGATGAAAGAATTGATCAAATCCGTGCTCCCGAGTGTTTCGTACTTTTATTTTTCTCTCAATGTCTCGTCCCCCTCTCAAAATAGGTTTAGGTTGGCTTTTATATGAGTTGGGGGCGTCTTGGGGTCGAAATAACTAAGTCCTAGTCGAAATAGGACATGTTCACGTTTTGAGCGTCCAGGGCAGCATGGGGCGCTGGCCCTGGCATTCAGCTTCCCAAGTTTCTGTTTTGTGCGCCACAGGCAGCGCCCCACGCTGCCTGTGGCCCTCAAATGTGCACTTTTGTATTTTATTTCCGTTTTCACTCCAATTCACGCACTTTTGTCCAAAATCGCATCTGAATGATTCCTACACATAGAATTACCACAACTTAGCACAAATCATCATATTATACATCTGAAATCTATGAGACATGAGCATAATGCGAGGCAATATATATATATATATATATATATATATATATCAAAATATGCATACATTAAGCTGAATATCAACACCCCACACTTAGACTCTTGCTCGTCCTCGATCAATGGAACTACATTAACACCCCAAAACGTACCCATCACTATGAAAGAGCAATTCTCAATTAATTCAATCAAACACTCTATCTTTTGACTATGTCGATACCGATAATTAAGCATGAACATACGAATTTCACATTCTTCCCGTTTTTAAACTAGCACAAGTATATACAATGCTATTCAAGAAACCTCTCCACAACCATCCTACCTCATGCGATGACTCGTTACCACTAAGCATCCTCAACTCACGCACTCACCCAACAAAAGAAGTGTACAACATCACCAATCTGTCTTGAGACCAAGTGCCCACACCACAAGCAAAAGAGTCAATAAAGAATTATCCCTAACGTTCAAATATGATGTTGAACATAAATTGAGGATATCACACAATTGAACAAAATCTACTCACTCTCACAAAGAATTCATGTGCATCCCATTGTCGTACCATAAGCTTGCCCGTAGTGTATATCTCTACTAATCTAAGCTAGCTAAATCTAGGATCAATTAGGACTTTAAGGTTGTAATGTAGGCTAAGGGACGGGTGGGATACATTTAGGATTAGTGACTAACCCTCCTAAGCACTTTAATACGCTACACTCGCAAATTGAGCACATCTTCTTTTCAACCAATTCACTTGTCATACACCATATATAACATAGGCCTCTTTTCAATTAAGCACCTCTATATTCTCACTAGCCCGAATTCGAAAGATTATGAGGTGTGTATTTTTCTACATTATTTGAACTACTATTTTTTTTATTTCTTCTTTTCTTTACTCCACACACTCCATACATTAATTTTCATCGGTTAGTGACCTTTTTTTTCTTTTTACAATTTTAATGCACCTTAAGGGCCCTTCCATGGTTCCACTCGAAATCCACTCCCCTATCTCTCAACTTAGCGACTAAGTGCCTTAGGAGGTAAATGTTCAACAAGCTCAAATTTAGAACAAAATAGGGATGCGACTTGTAGTGTGGGTGCTAAAGAAAAGGACTATAAGCTCCAAGGGGCTAGCAACGGAAAATATTATTTGTGAGTGAAAAGCACTTCTATGGTCAAGCAAGAAACGGCTATGTCATCTCCTAGACTAGCATAACTTAATGATTTCGCTTTGATTAACACACGGGGCAAGTTCTAGACTACACAAGATAGCACAGAATATCACTACTCCTTGCACACACATTACACTTGACTCAATCAAGACGGTTTTGTTCGACTCTCAAGTCAAGCAAGCAAGCGAGTTGAGAATATTTAGGCAATAATGCACTAGGTGGCATACAAGTCAACCAACTGAGAAAAAGGCATCAATGAGAGGCTACTTAATTTACTTGGGAAATTCAACTCAAATCAAATATTCCGGAAGACATAGTGCATGCCATAACTTAACGTGCCAACACCAAACATGTCAACAGGTACCTCAGATCACCTCAATTTTCTCCCTATCCTACTCCTAAAAAAAACCAAAAATAAAAATACCTTGGAAAAGAACTGGCGTCCAAAGAAAAACCAAGGGATACTACCTAACTATCCTAAAAAACAAAGAAAAATATTTTTGGTATTTTTAATCTGACTTTAATCCCTCAAGAAAATTGTCCAACAGATCCATCGTCGGGAAATGTCTGAACTTCTTCTGAATTTTTTTTTACTAGCTAATTAGACTATGTTAGTTCTAAACTAAGCTAAAAAAATATAAAACAAAACAATAGCAATAAAATTTTTATACAATAACAAGTCAAGAAGTATTCCCCCACCCCATACTTAAACAATACATAGTCCCCGATGCATAACAAATTCAAAGCAAGGTAAGGTAGAAAGAAAGAACTCCCTGCTAGTCGGAGTCCGCCTCCTCAGGATGCCCACCAGTCGCGGCTCTGGGCTCATCATCATCTCCTAATAGCACCAAGGCCATGGGCCCTGTAACGTAATCATCATCCACATCCTCATCATCATATCCCTTGTAAGTGTTCTCATCCTCAGACAGATAGATGGGACTGCCCGGTGTTATGCCCAACATCTCTTTGGAGGAACTGGAGAGATCATTTCGCAAATGCATGTGCTCCTCATCCGAAACCCCTAGCCTGCTCATTATCACATTGAGGGAACTATAAAGATACATGTTAAAATTTTCGTCCCTCTCATTCCTTGCAGCCTGGCTTAGCTTTGATGTGGACTTCAGCGAGGATGTGATATCTAGCAATGCCTTGGGTGCCTCCACTACCTCATCATATCCAGGGTACTCTGGTACCCCACGGGATAGCATGTACTGCGTTAGGAGGTTTCCAAAGAAAAACCTTTTGATCCTTCCCCCAAATCGGATGCGTGCCATCACCCCAAACATGAGCTCACCCACATTTATGGGTCGCCCGGTCATCAGAAAGTAGATCATACCCACTCGAGCTCGAGTGCATTCACTGTTATGCTCGACGGGCATCAATCTTGCCTGCACGATGTTTTGCCATACCTTAGCCGTCTTGTTGAAGTCAAAACGGAGCATCTCAAGGTGGGCATTTCCCTTAGTGCGAGTCCACTTTTCATTAGAATCAACACTACAAAGTGTGTGACGTATTGCCCGGTAGAGTGGAGTTTTGACAAACTTTTGTAACCCCCGAGGATTAGGGCTATCAACTCCCAAAAATGCACACAATGATCTCCTGTCCAGTGTTATCTCCTTCACTCAGACACATGATCATAACAAGTCTGCATTACAATTGGTGTATAGCTCGCGCACCAAGCTCAGATTCGCAGGGCCCGGACATTCCATGAGTTTCTCCATATTCATTTCTACCAACCGGGCAAGAACCTCCGGAAAGTTCTTTTCTAAGTCCTTTACATTAATCCCTATGTCGGAGACATATTTTCCATATGGCACAAAGTTATCATGTAATTTGATGGCATCTTCTCGTATTAGCTCTACCCGAGGCCGCGGTGGCCTCGTCGACCCGCTAGCAACCTGTTTTCCCTTAGCGTGCCGGGACGAACCTTCACCTTGCTTGCATTTTTTAGTAGGGAGAGTAGTGGCGGAGGACTTTCCCACCCCTTTTCCTTTGGCGGCACT